TCATGATGGAGACCCGGCCAACCCGGACGGAGGACCGAATGAGCAGAGGCCAGAACGCATAAGCAAGAATGTAACAGGAGAGCCAAAGGCCACGGGAGCAGACGGGATGATGCCAGCAGGAAATGCTCTGTAGGGGTCGCCCAGCCTGAGCGGGGACGGTGGGCAGAGAAGACTTGAAGCTTCACCTCAAGTACACAGCAGCCTGGCCGGTGGTCCTGCCTACCCACCACTTACCCTCTCCTTCCTCCTGCTGAGATGCCTAGTTTGACCCCTCCAGGATTTTTACATTACCCCCAGTCCATCAGATCCTCGGCCAGGTCCTCTGACCGCCGCGCTCACCAGGGGTCTGGAAGGAAACGGGAGGCCTCTCTACCAGCCCTGCCCCTATGCCAAGCTCATGCCCCTCTAGGGTTGCCAGGCCTCATCCCTCCTGCCTCCCCTCTCTCCCGTCCCCTCTTCCCAATTCCAGGAGCAGGAACACTCAACCACGTTCTGGTCAGCCAGCCAAGTGCTTCCTGTGGCCTCAGCCCCGTCCCCCCACCACGTCCATCCACCTGTCAGAGGTGGACATCTTAGGGGTGCTAGTTGCCTAAGATGGCGGCCTCCCTCTCCCTCTGCTTCCGTTCCCACAGCATTGCCTCCTACCCCTGTCTCTCTCTTTCTGAAGCCTGAGCCCAACAAGGTGGGGGGCCAGGCTGGGCAGCCAAGCCCGGAGGAAGCAAGACAAAAAAGGACAGAAAAGCCAGCCCCTTGGCATCTCTCTTTGGCATTGGAGTCCAGCTCGGGGAGGGACGGCAGAAGGGAAGAAAGAAAGTAGTGTGAGTTTTTATTTCTGTCCCCTCTTCCTGCCACCTCCCCCCCACACACACTTTGATGAAAACAAAATCTCTCCCCTTTTCTCTCTTCTCCAACCCCTCCCCTTTTTTCCTGGCTCCTACCATGAGCCTCCTGGAATGCAAATGAGTTGTATTATGCAAATGTATGCAAATCAGGCTTAACGAGCGGAAGGAGGGGGCAGAATGCCTAATGAGTAATGGCGGAGGGTGCAGATGGAGGATGGCAGAAATGACCCCCTCCTCTTCTCCTGTTCCCACAGCCTGGAGGCTTGCTGGGGGTAGCAGGGTGTCCCTCACTTCTGGGAAACGCTAGAAGGTCAAGGCCTCTGTCACCCGAGCTGAGGAGGCCCAGGATGGCCTGGGCTGTAGGCTGAGGGACAGGAGAGCTTTGAGGGGAGAGGGTTAAGTACAAGGGACTCCTGCTCACTCGCACAACCTTCCCAGAGTCTCTGGATGCACCAGCCTCTCTGCCTGCACAGCTCGGCTCCAGGGCTGAAAAGAGCGTGATGCTCATGCATGCCAAGGCGTGTGCATCAGAAAGGAGGATTCCCAAGGGAAGATTCCCAACCAGACCCAGGTTCTTCCTGGGGGTGGGGGTGAAAGCTGTCTCTCTTTGTGCTTAGGAAGGTGGGGGTTGGGGCGGTTGCCATGGCAACGTAGCATGGAACACCCACCTCTCCAACATCCAGCCCCAGAGGACCTAAGAGTTGGGGGGGGGATAATAGGTTGACACCCCCTGGTGCCCCCACCACCTGGCACTGCCAGCCGGAGATGGCGGCATCACATCCTAGAGAGAATGGCCCCTTTGTTTCTGGGCTCCTGGTGTTGGAGAAGCAGGCCTGGGCACACAGAAGGGCCTTTCCCAGGCCCTGTTCCAGTTTGCGTGACTCTTGCCGGCCTCTGGAGACTCCTTGTGGCCATCCGCTGGCCTCTGTGCCCTGGCAGATGGTTGCCCCCCTTGCCTTTTCTCCCATGGGCTTACCAGCTACTGCTCTGTATGCCTTCCCCTGTGCTTCTGTCCGAGGCCTCCCCCCAGACCTCCACGGACAGAGAGAGAAGCTGGTCCCACCTCTTCCTGGCTTGTGTGGACACCTCACATGTCCACGCATGCCTCCTGTCCTTTTTTGGGCAAGGACAACCTGTGAGCCCTCTCTACCAGCATCAGCATCGCAGCAAAGGCAGGGAGGCCCCCACAGGATATATCAGACACGGTGGGCAGGGCCAGGCTGGAGTTCAGGAGGCTGCATCTTGGCATTTCCACTACCCCGCTGAGTGACCTTGGTCATAACTCCTCCACTCTCTTGGGAATCTGTAAAATGAGAGATATAGGGCGGAGGCTCATTCTAGCTCCACCTGATCTCACAAGAGCTTCAGTTAAATCCCTCCTGAAATCTAACTCTCATCCTTCCTGCTGCGGCAGCGGCCCCTCACTCAGACTCCCCATAGAGGACAAACACGGTTTCCTGAAGATGGAATGCCAACTGCCCTCAGCCTTTTCCTCTTCCCGAGACTCCACGGCTGCCCACAAACAACTCCCACAGATTACACAATCTAGAGACAGATAGAAGGACCCCTTCCTCACCCTCCCAGAGGGGGCCTGCACGGCCGGCTCACTCACCACCCGGGAGCTGTCCGTGGTGCTGGATGCGGCTCTGGCTCACGCGTGGAGGAAAGAGGGCGGGAGGGTGGTGGGACACCCACCCGCCCCAGGTGAGAAGCTAAAGGGAAGAGAAGAAGCAGAAACATTTTGGAAACTTGTAAGCAAAGGGGCAGATAACGCTGAAGAAAGTTTCTCCTCTCTGAAGATATCCCAATTGCCAAAAGGACTTTGGGGGGAGGAAGAGCCCAAGAGCCGGTGCAACTCTGAACCTCACACCCCTTCATCCCTAAGGACGTAAGAGCCCTAGATCAGCTCAGTCTTCATCTGGATCCTGCTTGGAAATCCACAGGGAGATAGAGTCATAGTTCCTGCCCTTGGGGAAGAGCTCGGGTTGAGGTAGTTGATGGGGTGCACACCTCTACATTCCACCCTAAATTCTACAGTTCCCACAAGGAATTTAGTAATAAAGATGAGACAGATACGCAGGTGCCCAACAGTATTACAGATACGGAGAGGTGGAGAGGAAAAGTAGGGAAGGGAGGAAGGGCACAGGTCCGCCTGGGTGCCTGGGTGCCTGTGTGCGTGTGACCCAGGCAGAGGGGTAAGCCAGCCTCAGTGGTTCTTAACCCTAGCTGCACATTAGATAAGAAATACCCGGAGAACTTTCCCAGATACTCAGATTTCATCAGTCTGGAACTAGACCCAAACATCAGTATTTTTTTTTTTTTTTAAAGCTCCCCGGGTGATTTCAGTGCACAACCAAGTCAAGAATCACTGGCCTGGAAGAAAGTACCTAAGAAAAAGTACAGGGGTTAAGCCTGATCAGCCAGAGGAAGAGGCAAAGCTAGGGCCCCTGTAGAAGTAGGGAATGAACAGGGAAGAGAAAGACAAGCATCTAACTTCCCTGTCCTGGGAACTCTTGGTGGCCCCAGGCCCGATCTGGAGGGGAGACTGACTCAGGTGTTGGGCTTGTCTCTTCTGTGCTGTGGAAGCTCAAACCATCCCAATGACATCAGGCAATGAGATGAACTGTCTCCCCGGCGCAGTCCCTTGTGCAGCGACAGGGCATGGGTGCGGTAACCCTGAGGGCATGCTGCTCCCCTTCACCCAGAAGGTCCCCAGGGAGGCAGCTGTAGAAGGTAAACAGCAACAATGGCCTCTTTCAGTGCCCAGACCGCAACCCTGCAGTCCAATTAGCAGACACGGCAAACAGCAATTCAGCTGCCTTCAGCCGCTGTCATAACAAACTCAGAGCAGCCTTAATGGGGGGATTAGGGCAGGAGGAGGGGGGTGTCACTCTGAGCCTTGGGAGAGCCTGGGTGGCAAGGAAGGGTTCCCCCTTTCTCTCACCCCTCTCCTATCTAAATATGCACCTACGCACCTTCACCTTCCGTAACCCTGCTTCTCATTTTCCTCAAAGCTCTGAGAATGTTTTCATAGTTCTGTCTACTCCTTCCTTTCAATGATTTTAAAGCATTAACCTAAATGCATTTTTCTCCTAGGGAAGTTGGCACACCCTGCCTCTGGATGAGATCGCGCCATAACCCCCCAAGATCTCTGAGGTCTCGATAGCAAAGGAAGGAAAGAAGGTGGAAAGGTCAATCTGTGCCCAGAGCATCAGGGTGGGAATGAGGTGAAGAAATAAGTATCAGAATATTCCAGTTCCCAAACCCTGGGAAGGGCAGACTTCAAGTAGGACTTCTAGACCCAGAAGAACACAGAGGGCCTGTGTTTCTCTGGCGGGTTACTAACCTGGGGAACTGATTTGGCAGTCAGGGAGGTGGGAGGCCGGGAGGCAAGAGGAGAGAAAACACCCCTTCTTAGAGCTGCTCCGTGCTGAAGAGAAGTCTGCACGCTGATAGGCAGGTCTCCATCTGGTTTGTTAACTACACCCACTGCCTAACGGGTCCTTTACCTAAACAAACTGTTTTAAGTAATTCTAGAAACTTAATGGAATAAGCTTGGAATTATCGTCTACTCATGCCATATTTCTCTATCTACATAAGTCAGTTTACCAATCGTAAGTACCAATAGGTGATAAGATCTGTTCAGAAGAGAAAGTACGATGGCCCTTCTGCCCCAAGGACTCCAGGCTCTTCCCTGAATGGGCTGTTCGTCCTCTCACCAGCCTTCAGACACTGCCCACCCAGGTCCCCAGCAGTCCCTCCTCTACTCCAAAGCTGGAAAAGAAGGAAGGAACTTCCTCAAGTTGAAATGTGTTGAGATCCTCAGTCAAGAACATACCAAAGAGCTGTCCTTTTTTGCATTCCGAGATCAATCATATGCTTTCAGATCGTTGTTCTGAGCGGTAGCGAAAGAATGACTCTTTGCCCATGGATATGATAACATATTACAAGATCTTTTACATAGAATTCTTTGTTTGCTCCATGTAACAATCCTGGAGGCATACATTTGTCTCTCCTTTATATAAACATCCTGCTGAGGCTCAGAGATGTTGCAGCTGGTAAGTGATACACCCAAGCACAAACCTTGGTGCAGTCACACATGCTCTTTGCATTTCTGTCCCTCCCCAGGCTTGCTGATGGTGATGATGTTTATGACTGGGGAAACCTTTCAGTGCCCTGAATTGAGGAAAACCTGACCCAAAGTGAGGGTGTGAGTGATAATCAAAACTTGAGTCAGATATTTAGGAGAAAATTGCCTTTGAACTCCTGGACTCAGAATCCAATAGGAAAGCATTGGAATGAGGGCGAGGGAGGAAAATGGGTGAAGAAACCAGCTTAGAAACCATCCCAGTAGAAATAGGTGGATGTCGCAAGATCAGAAGAATAAAACTAAAAACTCGTGAACACAGAGGTGTGATGATACCAAGCCAGAAATTCGCTAACTGGTAATGGGTGAAGCCCTTGCGAGCCCCTTTCAAGCCAGCCTCCCTGCACCCCTATCCCATCAGTTTGCCTAGTGGGCTCAGCTGGAGGAGGTGTCATCCGGTATAAAAGTTGGGGGAGGCAGGTGGCAGGACTCAGTGGTATCACTGTGATGTCTGCATTTGGTAAACCCCCCCAACCCCAGAGTGTCTGTTCCTCTAATGGATTTACAGTTATGCATAGTCAGGCATCCCTGATCAGACAGCCGGGCCTCCTGCCCACCGTGGATCCATCACACACACACAGCCAGCGTCACGTCGGGTCAGTCAGTTTCTCACCCTCGTGAGCAGACACAGACAGCTCCCAGCACAGCCTCCCATCGTTCTCCTGACAGCCCTGCCCACACACCCACGCTCACCACCACGTGTACACAGAAGGCAACACCCCCCCCACCACCACATCCCTCCGGGCCTCTACCCCCTCTCCCTGGAGGAGGTGTTTGTTCTGTATAGGGTGTAAGCCCTCCACCCACCCACTCCCTCAGGCCCTCTAGTCTCCTTGGGAGACCCAGTGGTCAGATGTGCTCATGGGGCCCCACAATAACAATATAAACCCACTGTGGTTAAAACATAAGTTCTAAGTCTTATGTGGATGAGTCTCAGCAGATCCCAAACATGCATTTCCAACCAGCTGCGTGAAGTTAAAAAAAAAAAAAAAAAAAAAACAGGAGGGGCGCCTGTGTGGTTCAGTTGGTTAAGCATCTGCCTTGGCTCAGGTCATGATCCCCGGGGTCCGGATGGAGCCCACCCTGCATCATCAGGCTCCCTGCTCAACAGGGAGACTGCTTCTTCCTCTCCCGCTACCCCCCTCCGCCCCCGCTTGTGTTCCCTTTCACTGTCAAATAAATAAATAAAATCTTTAAAAAAAAAAAAAAAAGCCTGTCTTTCTTGGTGCTCCTCCTCCTCTTCCTCCCCCTCCCCCTCGTCCTCGGATCCCAGCCAGGCCTGAGGCTCTCATCTCTCCTGGACCTTACCTTTCCCCTGATGCCCCATCCCCTCTCTTCTCACTCATCCTTCATCCGCATCTTAGTCTCCCCACCTTACCCTCTAGTCCTTCCCCTGAGGTTTGAAACTATTCAGGGGCGTTAGCTTCCCACTGGGGTCTGTGGTTCCTCATCTGTAAAATGGGGTTAATAGCAGCCGCTTCCCAGTGTCGGAGGATCAAAGAGAAGCATGTAGACAGAGGCTGTTACCAGGGGGTACGGTGTTAGGGATTCTTAGTCCCTGCCCAAACCTGCCCCCTTTCTCCCTAATCCTGTCTCCACTGCCCCCCTCCAAAAATACCAAATTCCAAACAGCTGAAAAAAGTGGGAGGCAGCTGATCTCTCTTTCCTCCAAACCTCCGAAGGGAGGACACGTGTGTGCTCTAGGCTCTCTGAAGCCTGACTGTTTTAGTTTGGATTCCCCAATATTTCTCCCACATAATATATAATTGAATCATAATCTCCTCGCTATAAAAATCAGTTCCTGGAGGAAACTGTAAATTTACACAGGGAACTGGAGTCTGTACAAGGTCATTTTGTCCAGCTGTCCCGCCCTTTTTTTCTCCCTGCACTCTGGACTGCCAGCCAGGTGGTGGGGGAGGGAACGGGGAGAGGGAGTAAACGCAGCCGGGCTACTTCTAGCTTTGTTACATTTACTTTTATTCCACCAAGTGACTCTGGACCATCCTCCTCCCAACTGCACCGAAACACTTTTGCTTAAAATATTTAGGTCAGGCCAGATAAACGGATTCTTTTAGGAAAGGCCCTGATTAATCTCTCTAATTCTTTGCTTTCTCTGGGCAGCATAAGTACTAAGCTACAAATTCCTTTGTGTTTGAGCTCCTTGAGGCCATTTGCTCTTGGAGGTGATTTCTAAGAGAGTGACGATGGGATAGCAAGGCAACGTGTGTCTTGAAAGACCCCAACTCGGCCGATCTGGTCAGTGAAGACAGAGCTTCCATGAGTAGCTTTTCTTTTTTTCTTTTTTTTTTTTAAGATTTTATTGATTTGAGAGAGAGAGAGAATGAGAGACAGAGAGCACGAGAGGGAAGAGGGTCAGAGGGAGGAGCAGACTCCCCGCCGAGCAGGGAGCCCGATGCGGGACTCGATCCCGGGACTCCAGGATCATGACCTGAGCCGAAGGCAGTCGCTCAACCAACCGAGCCACCCAGGCGCCCCATGAGTAGCTTTTCAAGACATCAGACTGAGGTCCTGAGCAGAAAGAGGAAAGAATATGGAACAAGGGAGCTGAGAAACACTCTGCACACCCCTGCCCCAGAACCCAGCCTGTGTCTCCAGGTCTACCCCCACTTGCCCCCCCTCTCATTGTCAGCCCCAGCCCAGCTGGGCAGACCTACAGGGCTTCAGGGAGCGGAGTGGATGAAAGCAAAAACCCCAGGTGGGTTCTTTGCTCTTTCCTTTTCTCCTTGAGAGGAGGTCTGGGGGGGGGAGGGGAGGGAGGTACTCCCCCAAAGCCTCTCACCCCAGCAAGAGCTGTGCAGAGCCTGCGGGAAGCTGTTCACCAGCGCCCACGGGAGACGCCTGGGCCGGCAGCCCGAGGCACTGGCCCAAATAACCCTGCAACTAGATTTCAACGGATCTCTGCCTCGGAGCAGCTTCCCCCGCAGTGGCCCACTCCGCATTCTGCCCGGAAAGCCCCCATCCTGAGGAGGAACCACCCTTCTTCCCCTTTCTCGCCTCCTCCCAGCTCATGGGGAGCACCTGGCTAACGTGAGCCGGGGCGGCGCCTCCTACCTGCCTGGACCCGGGTTGGGGTTCGGTCTTGAGGCCCGCGGGCCACCGGCATCTCTTCTCCCCCGCGCGGCCCTGGGGTCCTCGCGCCCCCAGCCCCTCGTGTATGCCCTCCCCCGCCCGCCCATGCGGCCAGCTTTCCCGGGGCCCTCTGCGCAGTGTATGGGGTTATTTTTACTTTCGGTTATCTAGCTTTATGAAGACTCCACACCACTCATACAGCTAGATAACCAAAGATAACAACCAACCCCGCCTCCTGGCTGCCGCCGCCGCCTCTTCCACGCAGCCTCCCGGCCGCCCGCCGCCGCCGCCCCGGCCGCCCGCCGGTGGAGGTGGGAGAGGGCACAGGGGTGGAGGTGGGAGAGGGCACAGGGGTGGAGGTGGGAGAGGGCACAGGGGTGGAGGTGAGGGCGGAGAGAGGAACGGAGTCCAAGACGGAAAGGGACCCCGAGTACAGGACACAGACACCCCAGAGCCCGAGAAGGGCGTGGGAAGGACGCGAAGGCCGGCGGCGTCGAGGGCCAGGGATCGCCCCCGGGCCCCAGAAGCTTCGCGCGCGCCTCTCTCTTCCCGCTCCCATCTGAGCCACAAGCGGGAGCTCCGCGGGTCCTTCCGCAGGAAGAGGGACTCGCGGGCTTTTCGCGCCACCCGGGACGACCGCAGGGACCGCGGCGGAGGCCTCGACAGCCCCACGGGGTCCCCACCGCCCTCCTCTGGAAGCTGCAGGGCGCGCCCGACAGCCCAAGCCTCTGCGTGGGAGCCGCGGGGACCCCCTGCTCGCGAAGGGCTGGAACAAGGGCGCTGACTAAAGCCGGGGGCGAGCAGCGAATCGTGGGGGAAAACCCCCGGCGGCGTCCTGGCAGGGAACAGGAAATCCTGGCAACCCGGAGGGAGGCAAGCCGGTGCGGGGTGGGCGCCCCAGGGCCTCCCCGGCGCGTCTCTGGGAGAGAAGGAAAGGGCGAAGACCCCACCCAGGAGGGGTTCCGGGAGACCCCCCCCCACGAGATGGGGTAGGCGGTGCAGGTGAGTGAGGCGAGCCCCAGGCCCCGCGGGACCCCCAGAGAAAGGGCTTTGTACAAAGAGTTCCACAAAGCACCCAAGGCTGTGAAAATGGTCGGGGGTCCGAAGCGAGAGGGCCCCTAGGGCTTGGCGGGGATTCCGATCGGAAACGGGAGTCGACACAGAGGTCCCCGCAGCCCGCAGGAGGGTCTCGGCCGGCCCCTCCGGGCGGACGCGCAGGCACGCTCGCGGGACGCCGAGGCGCTCGCCCACCTGCTGCCCCGAGCCCGCCAGGCCACTTACATCGAGCCCAGGGCGCCCATCGTGCTCTCCCGCGCGGTCCTCCCGGCGCGCTCCCGCTACGGAGAGCCGTGGCCCGGGGTGCCCGGGCTCAGCGCGGCGCCCGCCGGATCTCAGCCTCCGCCGAGCCGCGGTGAGCGGGGCGGAGCGGGGCGGAGCGGGCCTCGCCTCCCCAGCTCCCTCCTCCGCCGCGGCCGCCGCTCTGGCCCGGGCGCGCTCCGGCTCCGGACTTTTCATTCATCCTTTCACGCTCCCTCCCCAGGCCAGCCTCCGATTGGCTCCGCCAAGTCTGACGTCACCGCCTCTTCTCCCCCGCCGGCC